GGAAGGGCTCTTCTATAAGAAGATTATTTCTAGGAAACATATGACTGAGCTCCGTGACTGATGGAGCTGGCTCCTATTGGCTCTGTCTGTATGTACATCTGACCAACTCCACCATCAGTGACATCAAGTTGGTAGCTTAAAATTGGCTATTTAAAAAAAAAAAAAATTGGCTATTTAATATCCAATATGTATAACTGGGATTATTTATACAATGGAAGTCTACAAACACTAAACACCAGAGCTTCTTTTGAGGGGTTGGGAGGAGCTGATCATTAAATGTTTGCCAGCACACCATTGACTGACATGAAGGACGCAGAAGATTTCAGACCTCTATGAAAGGAAATGAAATCGCCCCCACTTTACTCTTTCCTTTTATCACCCACATCGAGTTACAACACTTTGAGGTTAAAGGGCATATTTAGGATGACCAAACAAATATGATTTCATGATGTGATCTTGATAATATCGAAAACAATGGCACATCCTTTATTTGGAATAATGTGTGTAGCCGTTGGCGCAAGAATTTATTAGACTCTTGAACTGTGGTTGTTCAACTGACCTCCATAAAGCAAAGTCCCAAACTGGACAGACAGGTGTGTTACATAACAAGCTTCCTACATGATAAATTCTAAGTACTTTTATGTCTTTTGCCATTAAGGTTTTTAGTTTCTCACACAGGACTTCACCCTAAAGATGGAAAAGAACGCGGTGCTCCCGTTAGTAATGAGCAGCCCCACCTGCCACTCAGAGTGCACCACACCCAGCTGTGTGTCGAGACAAAACGAGGCAAACCACCAGCCAGGAAAAGAGAAGGAAAAACACTTTCCTCTGCCCCTTTACACTTAGTCACCTTAAATACTCTCAGCTGATCCCTTCATTTTGGAGGCTCTTCTATTCCTCATCTTTCATGGATTCTAAAAAAGGCAAGGAGAAAACTCCCTTTCATAATAACACTTGGATTATATTACTTTCTTCTGGACACCAGGCAGGTTTTATACCTTTGGTTAAAATACATTAAGTGGAAGCAAAAGTCAACATGAAAGCTCCCATACTGTATCCATGACCCAGATGTGTACTGCAGACATACACTTTGCATCTCACCGCAGCCTAAGCCTGTTTGTGTCTCACTGGGGGAGGATCTCCAGAAACCCATCAAAAATGCCACTTCTGGTCACTAAAAGATTCATCGGGCTCTTGCACATGAACATGCCACCACTCTACTGACCACCACTCTATACACAGATTAATAAAACCATAAATAATTGACTGTGGGAAATTAGAGCAATTCCTTTTTCTGCTTTCTGACTTAAGTGTGCTCCTGTGTTTCTGGACCTGTTCAAGTGTTCTTTCGGCTAACTCCCCTCTTTCACGGAACAGGCTGTAGAGCCTTGCCAGGTGGAAGCAGCCGATGGCTGGCAGGTGTTCTAAGCTGGGACACCAGGGAGGGAACAGAGGAAGTAGAGCCTGAAAGGAGTTTCCAGCCAGCTGCTCAGCATCACTGGCAGCCCCTCGTGAGGCCAGGACTAAAGCAGAGCCCAGCCAGAAGGCGGGATGCTTGGCAGTCCATGTTGTCCACCTAGGATGAGAGTCAGAGAACAGAGAGGAGAAGGGCGCAATTATCTGAGAGTGGACTAATGGATGTAGATGAAACCAGGCATAAAGGGTGGGGCAGGTTCCTGAACTAAGGCCTCAAGAATGATTTGCTAAGCGTCATCTGCTAAGCCATGAGAGTATAGCTGTTTTTCCCTGGCTGGGTGTGGCCCACTCTGAAGGAACATGACTCCACCAAGCTAGAAGTAGGGAAAGTTGTGTTGGGATGGATTAGGTACAGTTAAGGAAGACGGAAGCAACACGGTGTCCTAGAAGGGACCAGATATGAAGATTAAGGAGAGCTAGGTTCTAGAACTCTTTCTGGCACTGAGTAACTTGCAACTTGGGCAAAGCACACAACTTCTCTGGGCTTCATTCACCACCTCGAAAGTAGAAATAATGACGTGCCCAATTTCACACAGGGATGTATAAAGATGAAATCTAAGTTTGAGAAAATATTTAACAAATTATAAAACACAACCCAACTACAAGGTCTATTATTCTTACTCTTCGGAGGAAAAAAATCTCTCAAAAGACAACTTCAGAAACTAAAGCAAGAGGCAGAAAAACGAAACCCCCTGAAAACTCAAAATATATCCAACCAACCAATCTGTTCTGCTGGCCACAATATGGATGTCACTAAGAAAAACTGAAACACCAATTTGATTTTGCTCCATACTACACACCTTTATTGGGCCTTGAGTTAGCCATGGTCTAGACTAAACAGAAAGTGTAGACTAAACAACTGACTTGACAAAGGCACAGCCCCTCGGTGAGAGGTGAGAGTGAGAATAACTGGCAAATCTGGAGGAACTTCTAAGTGAGACCTCCCTGAACCAACCCAGCAGAGCCAGAGGCTGGCAGGCAGGGTTCCTGGGACTCCGCTGCCAGGCCTGGACCAACACCCGGGTTTCACAGTTCAAGTGGGGAGAGAAAGCTTACCCTGGGAGGGCCCCTGGATAAATCCTGGAGAGACACACAGAGGTGACTTGGGAAATCTATCATTGCAAATAGAGGTTTTTTAAGTTCTTGGGAGAGTAGTTGGAGGGCATCCAAAATGGAGGCCAGGCCACAATTGGGAAAGAAGTGAGGTTGCGAGAAGGGTCAGCTCTGTCAGGGAGGGATGGCCGCAGCTGCCTCTGGGGTGGAGAAGGGAGAGGGTGGGGTCGGGCAGGGACGGAGAGCACAGGAGTGTACCTGGCTCACATGGACCATGTGCCAGCAGGTAAAGGCTGTGTCACAGCCTCGGTGGGGAGGCTGCCATGGTGTGGCTCAGGCCACACAGCTTCCCGGGGAGAGGTCGGGCTGGGGAGAGGCCCTGGTGCTGATCAGGCCTTTTCTTCTCCCTCTGCGTTAAGTGATGACATCTGGGCAGCACGAGGCAGAGGGCTGATTCTGCCCATGGAAGAACAAGGAGAATACTGAAGGGAAACTAAGAGAAGAAAATGTTTGAGTCAAGGAGTCATGTTCCCTCCTCCTCCTCCCATCCTGTGAAGGGGAATCAAGAGAAAGTGTCCATGCTCTCTCCCTTTCAACCTCCTACCCCAAAATTATTTTTCGCTTATTTCACATGACAGGAACATGATGTCATTTTTCTGTTACTCATCACATCAGTAAACACAGCTACTGCCAGTTCACAAAACTGCATTTCTTGGGGTCAGTGGGTCAGATGGGCTCCAGCCTCACCAAACCACAGCCTGGCCTGTTGGCTTCACCCTTCTCCTGCAGCCATTTCCACGGCAACACGTGGGCTCCTGGGCTCAGGGGCCTTAATGTAGTATAGAGTGACAGTAGGGTAAGGTCCTGCCACCTCCCCTCAAAGTTGATTGTATTACTGTGGTCAACACCTGACCTTTCTGAGCCTCAATTTCCCATTTCTTAGGATACAGGGCCGATCTCTAAGGGCTGTTGTAAGTCACATGAGATTGCAGTGCCAGTGCTGCCTCAAATTCAACATCTCAAAAAGATGACTGAGCATCTACTATGTGATAGGCACTGTCCTAGAAGCTGAGAGTGTGATGTTCAAACAGCCCCGTCCAGGTGCAGAGGGCTGCATCCTATAGGGGGAGAGGCAATAAAAAGCCGCTGCCATATAACGGAGAACAGCTGGGGGCTGGGTGATGAGCATAGGTTCCGAAGTCACACTGCTCAGCAGCAAATCAGCTGTGTCTTTGAGCAGGTTACTGCTTAACCCAACACTACTTCCTACCATTTTTCTGATGAATTTGAATTTTCTCAATCCTAAACAGGGAGAGGACAGTTTTTACCTGATAGTGTTGTAAGGATTAAAGAAAGTAGGTTAAGTAACTTTACACATTTGGCCAAGGTAAAGTATTAGCTTTTCATAGTAACAACAGTTATAATGATAAATGGGACAAGCTACATGGGGGGAAGTATAGGGTGGTACACCAGGGCTTAGCAGAGGCACCTAATGCAGTCTGGGGGTGGGACACGAGGCTACAGTCAGGGATGGTTTCTCAGAGATGACATTTAAGTTTAGACCTCAGGAGCAACCTTAAGGGTTAGGAAATAAGCCTTATGGTTAGCTGTGTGGCTCGAGAGAACGAGACCCGACACTGCCTGACCCAGGTCCCACCTCATCCACACCATGGCTGCTGAGCTGTGTGACCCCTCAAAGAGCCAGGCCACTGCAGGGCCCCAAAGCACTGACGAGGGCTCTGGGGAGCGTTCCTTGGCAGCAGCACCCAGAACAGGTATCCTGGAAGCAGGGCCCTGTGCCCTAAAAGCAGCAGGGCTGAGCTCCCACCACATGGAGCCACCTCAGCACCAGCAGAGCCATGGGTGTGAAGCAGATATGGGTGTGAAGGAGCACACATCACAATTACACCCCAATTCAACAACTTCTTCACCGTGGCAACGGCAAGTAGGTCCAATACCTTGTTTTCATCTTCATGTTTTTGAAACTGTTCAAGAGACAAGGCACCACCCAGTTTCCAAAATAAAATCACCCAGCGTGCATAACCCACCCGCTTCCCACCATTTTCTGATGAATTCTGTCTGTAAGCAGTAAAGGCTAGGGAGTAGCTCCTGTTATTAAACCAGCACTCGGTTCTGAATGCCTGTATGTTTTCAGGATGTTCCTTCGGTTAACTACAAAAACCTCCTATCAATATTTGAACTACTGAACTGAACCACAGTTATGACCACAGCCTTAACGAACACCCCCTCCAAGCCAAGCAGAGTTAATAAGCTGCCCAGTGAAATCAAAGAGATTTTTTATACACTTCAATAAGATTTTTGTGATTACTGTAGGGCTTTTAAATTAAAAGTCTCAGTAGTAAATTTTGATTGCTAAACATAAAGGCAGACCACTAAACGACTTGGACGGCCTCCTTAGATTTTTCGAGTGAAACTTCCATTTGCATCCCCAGTCGACAGTACAGACTCACCGAGGTCAATAAGAATCGCGTGCTGCTGCGAGGTTAGCTGTTTTAAGAGCTCTTTGTATGGCACATCCTTTGGTTGCTGTTTACTGGGAAACTGGTGTTTAAAGTGGAATTGCTCAGCTAGAAATTTCCAGATTTCACCCCGGTGATGACGTGGCACTCCTTTAAAAGGGGGAGGAGAAAATATAGAGACTTTATGCACAAAATACAACCTAAAAATAAAGAGTTGTGTTTCATTCTATTGCTCCAAATTCTTGTTCCACTATAAATTAACAGCATAGGAATAGAAAGGAAGCATCCAAAAATTTGTCCTATTTCACCCCTTCCTTCCTTCCCACCCCATTCTCCCCTCACTTGCCCTGGCCCCTTCTCTCTTTCTTTCCACCTTTCAAATACACATCATGTTATGACTGTGTTAGACTCTGCAAGGGATAAAATGACAAAGAGGACATGAGCCCCTACTTGGTACCAATTAATAACGTTCTAGGGAAATAAGACCAAGCCAGAAAAACTATAGTGCAAAAGGTGATCTCATCAAAGTGAGGTAGAGCTCAGATGGAGAGCTGGCTCATTTCTAACTGGGCACTCAAGGTTTCACAGAATCCTTCATTTGTGCCCAGCCTTGAGGATGAGGGAAAAGGAAAAGACAAGACCAGCCAGAAAGAAGGAACTGTGAGCATTCTGGATCATCTCAGACACAAGGGTGAACGTGTGGGCGGAGTAGTTGGCAACAGAGCTGAAAGGGTTTTGTTAGTGGCAACACTGAGGGCAAGAAACCTACACTTCATTTGGTAACTCTGGGGAACCACTAGATGTTTTTAAGCTGGGGAGAGAGTAGCCTAATCAAAGCTGAGATTCTGGAATTTTGACTAGACATCTTTTTGCAAAGTGGACTAGAAAAAGAGACCCTAGGCTGGACGAGGGACCGGCTGCAAAAACATGCCATTGTGAGCATTCAATGGAGATCTAAAAACAAGAAAATGATACAACCACCTGTATCGAATGTTTCAAATACGATTAATTTGAATACTCAAAGTGATTAAAAATGTTGAAAACTAAAAAATTTTCTTAAAAATCAGTGATGTTACTCAGGGCAAACCTCATCAGAAAATCTAACAGTTTTGAATGAAAATTCTTTGGTTCATTATTCACCTGTTACAAAGCCCAAATGTAGAAATGGGGCGAGAAGGACGTCTACAGAATAAGACACCAAATCTTTCTCATCTCTTGGGAGAAAAGGAACCTCCAAATTAGGGATTAACCTTTCTCTTCCTTTTTTTTTTCATTCCCTGGCCATCTTGGCGGCTGCTCTTGGTTGGGGGCCATTCTGTACCTAAGGCAGGAAGATGGTGGCCACAAAGAAGACAAGAAAGTTGATGGAGTTGATCAACTCTAGGTTCCAACTCGTTATGAAAACTAGAAAATACATATTGGGGTACAAGCAGACTCTGAAGATGATCAGACAAGGCAGAGTGAAATTGGTCATCCTCACCAACAACTGCCCAGCTTTGAAGAAATCTGAAAGAGATTGGCCATATTGGCCAAAGCTGGTAGCCACTGCTACAGGGGCAATAATGTTGAATTAGGCACCAAGTGCTGGAAATTAGTACTAGAGTGTGCACACTAGCTATCACTGACCAGGTGATTCTGATATCATCGGAGGCATGCCAGAACAGGCTGGTAAAAGTAAACCATGCATTATTGTTCTTTAATAAAACTAGTCAGAGCTTGTTCAAAAAGAAAAAACAAAAAAACCCCACTTTTCATTCTATCCAGAGAAAAATGTGACCACTTTGTACACTTCCCTCTCAGAGAGCACATCGAGGAAGACAGTTTTTCTAGTTTCCATCACTGGCCATCTTTGAGAGAAGTTTCTGCTCTGGCAAGACCACAGCAGCTAATATGTACTGCAAGGTCACTAGGCATTGTCACCACCTAAGCATACGTACTAGCCCATATTGACCTCTTAACCCTTCTAAAGGAAATACTAAGATTGCTCTGGTAGTAAAGATGAGGAAAGAGAGGCCAAAAAGAACAGGTCCCTTGCCCAGTATCACCCAGCTGGTTAGTGGTAGTCCAGGGACAGTGACTGCCATTTTCTCTTGATATCCTCCCTGTCGGGACTGTCAAACAAGGCTGCTACTGAGAAGGAATATTTTATGTTCCTGCCCGGCAATTAATAACAAAATAACCATTTATGGATTTGAACCAAATAGTAATTAACTTTATTTATTAACAGATCCACAAGGAACTATTTGGAAAGTATCACTCAGCCACCTCTTGGAAATACTTAAGGTACAATAAGTACTTTGCTTTTTCCTTTACATATCAGTTGTATTATTTTTTTTAAAAAAAAGCCTGTGGGAGAAATACAGCCCCATTTAACTGTGACCACATCCTACGCCTTCTCTAAATGTTTATCTCAGCATTAATCTGATGACTGTGTAGTGAGATGAATGTCCCCCTCCCCCACAAAAAAGATATGTCAATTTCCTAATCCCTGGAACCTATGACTATTACTATATTTGGAAAAGGGGTCTTTAAAGACATAAGTAAGATATCTAGAGATGAAGTCATCCTGGATTATCCAGGCAGGCCCTACATCCAATGACAAGTGTCTTTATCATAGACACACAGAGAAGACAAGACCATGGAGGCAGAGACTAGAGGGACATGGCCACAAGTCAAGAAATGCCAACAGCCAGCAAATGCTGGAAAAGGCCAAGCGCAGCCCTTGATTTTGGACTTCTGGCCTCCAGAAGTGTGAGGAAAAAAATTATGTTGTTTTATTGTTTTAGCCACCAATTTTGTAGTAATCTGTCATGGTAGCAATAGGAAACTAATATACTCCAATTTTTTTATATTATTCTATTTCCTCTCTCGTTCTCTATTATTCCCAGTGATATATCTTGAGTTACATGCACATACACACACGCCCCTAATACTTCAAACCCTGATTAGAAGTAAATAGAGGCTGAAAAACAGTCAGCATGATAAGTGATTTATAGTGGGGCTTTTTCACAAAATGTTTTTTTCCAAACTGGAAAATTTTCCCAAGTTATGAGATGTCCAATTTCCTCTTATTACTAAATCATTCCCATTATCTTATCGGACCTTTATTTTTTTGGAGGAAAAGAATATTGGCTGTGTCACTGGACAGTACCAGATATTCTGCTATTCAAGAGTAAGCTTAGATTCTATGATTTAAAGCAAAGGGTCATGCAAATTGCACCCAATGTTTTTGCTAAGAATGGCCTGGAACACCCTTCTCCCCATGTTCAGTTTTGCCTGCATTCCTAACCCAAGAGAGAAACCTGACAGTGGAGCCTACCCAGGCCTGCAGGCAGGGTTCTGGGTGGGCAGGAGGCCATTCCCTGCATCTCCCATGTAAACAGCTTTTTGTTTTTACTGACTTGAAAAGTAATATATGCTCACTGTTTAAAAGAAAAAAAAAAAAGAAAACCTCTGAAAATGCAAAACATGTAAAGAAGAAAGTGAGAAACCACCCATGACTAGCATGCATATACAATTTACCATCCAAAGCAGAAGCTTTTTAAACTGAAGAGGAGGAAGGCTATTAATTATTTTACCAGGACAAGAGTCGTAAACCAAGGCTATGCCGTCGTAAATCAGAATCTATGGTCACCCTGCTTATAACTCAGATATCTGCTAACACTTTGTGGATGTTTTCTATGTGTACGCATACAGAAATGTCAACTGTACGTGAGACCATGCTATGCTGTACTGTTTTTCATTTAACAACTTAGACATCTTTTACATTAGTAAATATAGATCTACTGTGTCACTATCAAGCAGTATGACAGGACAATCACATGGGTGGGTTGTTTTGGTGTTATTACACAATGCCACAATAGGCATTCTTCCCACTGAAGTACATTTTTGGCTGATTAATTTCTAGAATAAATTTCTATAAATGGCATTTCTAGGCAAAAGGTAAGCAGCATTCACATCTGGTCCATATTGCCAACTGCTCAGGTGGCCACTTAACAATCCCATTTTTAGAAAAATACATTCTGCCTATAAGGTTCTATCTAAATATACTTAGAGAAATCACATTGACCCAAACTAAACTTTGTGGGGTTTTTTGTTTTGTTTTGTTTTTCTGACTGGTAAGGGGATTGCAACCCTCAGCACGGTGTTGACTGCACCACGCCCAGCCAGTGAGTGCACTGGCCACCCCTACATAGGATCTGAACCTGCGGCCTCAGCGCCACCAGCACCGCACTCTCCCAAGTGAGCCGCGGGGCCAGCCCGACCCAAACTTTGAATGATCAAAAATGCCACAGAATTACTCTTCTTTCTTCCAAGTTGATACCCTAATCCTGCCACTCCCACCTAATTTCAAATTAGAAAATTTTATAAATCTCTTTATGCCATTTAACAGACTTTAGATTATTAAGAGGAAAGGCCTCATTACTCATGCAAGGACTGTCCTCTCTTTCAAGGTCTCTGAGGTGACTTGACCTCTACTTTAAAAGTCAAAGGTATGGTTCTGATTTAAAATCGTTTTTAAATTTCAAACCACAAGATAAACATATGGTTTGGAGTTGTTAAATCATATGTTTGGAGTTGTTAAATCATAATGTGTTGAAAACAGCTGATTGACAAAGCCCCTTTAACAGTTAGAGACAGTGAGTTTCTGCAGTAAAAAGTGATTTGGCAAAGTTGGGGAATACATGAGGAAATTCCAGGTCAGCCACAGCTCGCCACAGCATATAAACTGTTCAATCACCTATGCCTGACTTCACTACACAGTGCCCAGATTCTTAGATTATTTCTATTAGCCCCCTCATAAAATGCACAATGAAAAACAAGTATCCAGGTGCCAGGCTTCTAAGAAGCTCAAATATTTGGAATAGCTGTCCCAGACCCATGCAATTTACCTTTTGTAGAAGCAAAGACACCTGAAGACAATCATCTAGTCAACCGTGAAAAGGGACAGAAAAGACTCATTCTTTTCTCTGCTTTCTCCTTTTTCGAAACAGCAATCTGGGCCCATGTGGTATAAGGGTAAACCTCCAGCAACCACTGCAGGTGCAAAGGGTGTTAGAACTGGAAGAGAGCACCAAGCTCCTCTGCTTGGTCCATGCCTCTCATTCTACCAGTGCAGAGGCAAGAGCCCAGAAAGGTGAAGACACCTGCCAAAGGTCACACTGGACACTGCTGCCAATTTAGAACCCCAGGCTTCACCACTGCATACATTGCTGGTTTCTGAGAACACACTGTTCAACCGGAGGCAGTCCAACTGGTGGTTAGACTAAGGTGTGAGCCCAGCTCTGTGGCCCTGAGTCCATTACTTGAGGGAAAAGTCAAAACTAGCAATAACTCCCTATTATTACTAAAAGTGATGCTGTCAAAACTCAGGAAAAGGTTAAAAAATGCCTAAAAGCCTACGGCAGGAAAACTGCTTTGCTCCATTAACTCTCTGAGGGATGTAACATTCTTCCACTGTACAACTGATAAAGTCAGAAGAAAACCACAAGTTTTACATATTTTTGCAATCCTTATTCTAAACATCTGGTTATTCATGACTAGCTCGACTAGAACTCAGTAGTACTAAAATTACATTAGATTCAGAAGGCTTCACTCTTGCAAGCAGACACTAACATATTTTAAAAGAAATCAGTTTATTTGTTTTACTTGAACACTAATAATCATTGAAGTTAAGCTTGAAAACGGTGCTTCTCAAACTATCGTGAAGGATCGATTCTTCTTTTTTTAAATTTTCCAATCCACTGCAGACTGATATTTTTATAAAATATAGTAAAAACGAGTTATTACAAAAACAGACTGACAAAATATAAGTCCACCTTTTTCATTAGGATCACTGTGTCACATTGGTGGAAAATTTCCAATGCTGAGTCTCAAGTTTTGTACTTATCTCTTCTTGGACCAGTAACAGTTTGCACTGGCAGACCACACCAAAATAAAAAAGCTAATGTTGCTCACTCTCCAAGGCCTTCTGATATAGCAGACACATGCTGCGTGCTCCTGGGCACCAGCTTACTTACTCCTAACAACAACCACTGTCATCACCCACATCTTATGCATGTGGAAACCAGGGCTCAGGGAGGTTGTCATTTGCTTAAGATCACACACACTGCAAGGAGAGTGGCAGAGCTGGGATCGAAACCTGCGACCACCTGTCTAAAGTTCACACTCTCTGTTGTCTCCCCAGAGTACCCAGAGAGAAGCTACACAATTAGTTTTTAGTTTACTATTTAATTCAGAGTATATCATCATATCGTTATCTAGTTTGTAGGCAACTAAGCTGTTGGGTTTTCCTCTGTCTTCCTGTTTCCTGATCTTCTGGGTATTTTAATTAATTTAATTAAAAGAATCAAGAAAAGTGATGAAACTCACATCAATTAATTAAGATACCTAGAAACAGATGAGGTAAAGATGTGACAAAAAGGAGACAGCCACTGTAATTAGACTCTAACTTTTTCTATTCCACACTTCTCCCCAATTATCAATGAGGGCTGAGGCTATAGATGATTCTCAATAAAGCTCACCTTGCCCAACAGCTGAGTGCACTTTTTCCATGTCGAACTTAATTTTTGATCTTCCTGGGGTGCTAAGCATCTTTTCCCATACTGTAGTTACTTCTTTAAGACAAGGAGTGATTTCTTCATAATCAAGCTTCAGGCGCTTGTTCAGCAAATCATTTTCAGAGGCTGGAACAGACCATTTAAGGGCACATTAGTAAATGCTACAGCTGCAGATTTTCTATTACACAACACTGCTGCCTACTTGTCACTACTGAGATGTCGAACAGTTACAGCCAGCTTACAGGTCCCAATTAAAGTCACTGTTCCTGCCCACCCCATTTCCCTTGTCTTGGAAAATACTAAAAACCTAAAAGGTCCTTGATTTCTCTTACCCCTTCCCAGCATGTTCTGTTGGCTCTGCGCTAAGATATATCCCACATCTGTCCAATTCTTTCCAGCTTCGTAGCTACCCTATTAAACTATAAACATCTCAAGGGCAGGAGCTATATGTTAAAATTTCCAGTGTCTGGCATGGTTAAAGCTCAACAATTTTTTTTTTTTTTATCTTAACTAGAATAGTACCTTCTTATTTAGAGCCAAACCTCCTTTAGGTAGCTTCTACTGCTGGACCTGTTTTTGCTTCCTGGAGCTAACAGAATGAATCTACCACTTTCATATGACATCTCCTCAAACAGATGAAGATAGCTATTGTTTCCCACCAAGCTTACTTAGCCTAAGACTGCATTAAGAAGAATTATACCTAAATTACCAAACTGGGGAGGGGGAGGAATGCAATAAAGGAAAACTTTAAATTGAAAACTTTAAATTCATTCTCCAGTCCAACCACAGACACAGAAACCGAAGTGCAGAGAGATTAAGCAATTTGCCTAAGGTTATTTATGAGTTACTAAGTAGCTGAGTGATTCTAGGCCTGGTGGCACCTTCCTCTCTAACTTTACAGTTTCTCATCTACCATCTTTACTGTTTTCCCTCTTACTTTGAAAAATATATTTTCAAGGTCCTGTTAAACAATTCCCTACACCTCTGGAGTTCACACTTTAAAAAAAATATCAACCCTAGATTTGGGGGGGCTAATAAGAAAACAAAACAAATGTCACTAGAGTTGAGATAACCCTTGTAGCAAACTGGTTTCCGAACTAGCCTTACCACACAGTAACTGAGAATGGCACAGGGTTCCTGGTGCCAACGTATGTTTCTCTGGCAGTGAATTCTGCTGTGAGCATGGCTGGCTACCCTACACAGCCCAGCAAGCATCATGAGGAACTTGCTCTGAAGTCAAGAGAACTTCACCTGGCCAGAAAGAGCTGGCCAGAGGATTCAGCTGAAAAGGCTTGATCCATGTATTTTGCTGGTGGCCCAAGTATCACCCCACTGTTTCAGCATCCTGACAATGCTGCTGCCTAAAATCATCAGCCTCATCAACCAAGGCAGATGGGGAAAGCCTGCAAGGAACGCTAAGGCTCCAAGACAAGAGCTTTAAAATATTAAATAAGAGCCCATACACCCCTGTTGTTTGTGAGCTTGCGGGGCTAGGGGAAGCAGGACTGAATGAGATCAAATGTAATTTTGCAAAAGATTTGTCTAAAATGTTTATTACCATTTGACATGGATGTATGAGCTAACTTGGGCTTTGTGAGCAACGTTCAGATCTGATTTATGCCCACTGTGTAGCGGGGGCTGTCACTGCTCTATCCCCAATTCCGCTCTGTTAACAACTGCTTTCACAGATCAAACTCTCTTGCCAACTGCCATCATCTCCTGAAAGCTTACCAATCGAAAGCTGAGAGGCTCAGCAATAAACTGACCCCCACATTTGTATAGATCCTAGAAAAACTACACTCAGTATTTATTTAATTTTTTTGCAACAAATCTATTACGGTAACTAGGGAAATAGTTTTATAAAATTAATATACCTTCAATTGCAATTCAAAATTTAAAATTATCATCGTATATAGATGTGATATTTGTAACATTTTAATCTTAAACATAAAATGCTGAATTATATGAATTAGTTCAACAAGCAATAACATGCTGACCCAAACAATGGTTACACTAAATCACACTTCACTATCCTGCATTAGGCTGCCCGTACCTTCTTTTAAAAATTGGGAAGGAATGGCCTTGCAGAGGGGTACAGTGGAGGACTGCTGGCTTGGTAGACAGGCAATGCATTTTAGCCCAAGCACCACTGAAAATTAGTTATTTAACTTCCCAGAATCACAATTTCAGCTTCCGAGTGTCTACAGTGAAATGAGGTAGATTTAGACGACATGGTTTGATTCTTCCCAGGATGCAATGATTCCAGAATAGTAATAAAAATGTTGGGGCTCAGAAAACAATACCTGAACATATGGCGCTTTGGCATGCTGAGTACTTTGAACTAAAAAAAATTGAAGGGGGGCCGGCCCCATGGCACACTCGGGAGAGTGCAGCGCTTGGGAGTGCGGCAGCACTTCCGCCGCGGGTTAGGATCCTATATAGGGATGGCCGGTGCGCTCACTGGCTGAGCGCGGTGCGGGTGACACCAAGCCAAGGGTTGCGATCCCCTTACCGGTCACAAAGAAAAAAAAAAAAATTGAAGGGCCTCAGAAGCTGCTTCAGAATCACCATCTCTCTGACCTTCTCTTGTTTCTCACCCAAATGCAGGGAAGGGCTCTCTGTCTGAAGTTCCCTCATCTGACTGAGGGAAGTTCTTCCAAAAGAAACACAACTGCCTTCAATTCCCTGTCTGAAATATCATTAGCCAGAGAAGATTAATCACCAAAGAAGACATTAAAGGTCATCCCCACACCTGCCCAGACAGATGGTTCATCTGTTCTTTTGAGGACTGTCATCTGAGAGACTTTACCTGAATGGTAAGACAACCTTTGTTCACAATGCAGTTCTGCCCCTTACCTTCCCATAACTTGTCACCACCTACCCCAGAGCCCAGAGGAACTTTGTCCCAGGCTATTATCAGCTCTTTGGGCCCATTCATCTCCCCTAAAAATCGTATATTCTTCCTCTGAAATTACCTACATCCCCCACTTTCCTCTTGCCTATGAAGAGAGTATTTAAGCTTCAACCATCTGCCCTTCCTTGAGTTTCAAACTCTATGTGACTCTGTGCACTTACACGTTAATAAATTTGTATGCCTTTTGCTAATGTGCCTACTGTCAGTCTATTTCAGTAGACTCGGTTAACAAACCTTCAGAGAGCAGAGGGGAAGTTCCCTTTACCCCTACAAATATTTGATCCATATAGTAAAAAGTCAGGAAATAGGTGTAACCATAGGAAGAACCTCCTCATACATGTTCTTCTCACTTCTTTCCCAAAGAGAGTGCAAGTCAGCTTGAACCCTTGATCAATTTCAAGAGCTTCTCCCAGCTCTAAATTAACCTTCCTTTAAGAAATAAAACAAACAAAAACCAAAAACAAAACACAATATAATGACTGTCTCTGGGACGGAGTACATTCCCTGGTTGATTCTTGTCAAATCTTGCTTCTGTATTTAATGAAAAAGTTCTGCCCCACCCCCAACCCACCCGTACAAACCTCACTAAATATCTTTAAGCAACTAGGCTCTTATGGATGATTATTTTTCTCAAAAATAAAGATACTGTACACACTAATACAATGGACTAATGCTTTTTATATTATATTTAGCAAGTTTATTGTGCTTTTACCACATAGATAAATATATGTTGAACTTTACAGAGCTAAGAAGGGAAATGAATTCAAACAGTAAAAACAAAAGGCCATAAGAACTAAACACTGCCAATAAGTCGGATGAAATGAGGAAGCAGTAGAAAGCCACTGGCAAGGACCTGTGAACTTAATGTAACACCTGGCAAGGTGCTCCCGGTAACCTTAGAAAACTCTTACCCGTTCAATCTAGTCTGTCTAGTTATCATTTGCACAGCACTATGTACTTTGCTTTCATGACATACTGATTTCACCTCATCAATTACAGTCACAATTCCTCCTAACATTACCAAGAAGCCAGCCAGTGTCATTCCCATTTTACAGCTATGCCCTGATTTTGCATGGCTGTCATTTGCAAGATTGGCTAACATAAGCATTAAGGTTTATGATGATGAATATAACTGTCTTTTTGCTTTTCAACAAAAACTCCAACATAACACATGAATATGAATGCTGTGCTCCAAAGATGTCACTTAGCTAATGACATGCTTAGTAATACTATCACTATCAAACATCTTTTAGACATCGACTTTTGGAATTACCTTAAAGCACACACAGAAAATGGTAGAAAAATAGAGCAGCGCTCATCTGCTCTAAACTCCCCTCACTGTGCCATCACCTTCCACAGCACCTGGTGGGACGACCCACCTTGCTCGGCTTCAGCACTGCACACTGGAGAGCTTACTACATTCATAAGCAGTCTATTTCAACCGCTGGACTACTTTCGTATCAAAAGATCTTATTACTTTATACTTCACTTCTTGTTTTTGGTCAAAAAGGATATACTTATCTTGACTCTATAACTACACATTTCATGAATTTGTAACTTTCTCAACTGCAGAAACTATGTTACTGGTACACAGTGTTGTTCTAACTCAGATACCTTACAGACCTGCACAAAGAATATCCACCCACTCACTACAACACTAGCTATGAGAAACTGTAGAGGTTCCTGTACAACTGAACCTCATGAGACGCAACGCATTCTTGGTAGCCTATTCATCAGATTTGGTGGTGTCTTAATGACTTTCAGCTCTATAATGACCCTGACAAACATCAAGGTCATTATTACACGACAAAAACCTGCCATCAAAGATGATGTTCAATTTAATGTAGTTTAATTCCAAAACTGATTTGGGGCAATGGCACCATGACTGAACCACCCATTACAGTTTCCCTTTCAAAGAGTATATTAAGCTTCCTGCTCAAAATCTTCATTTCTTTATATCCAGGCAGCTTTCTAAACACTAAGACCCATGCTCCTTCACAGGGTATACAAACTTAGCTTCTTACACTACCTTGAAAATAATGATTATTGGTTCAAATGTCAGTATGGAAAAAGGAAATGAATAAAATCTAAACTTTCAAAGTTCATATCATATTTTGACACTTGATATCAGTACACGTAAAGCTCAGCTAATGTTTTTTCAGGTACCTGCAACTCACTAAAAAGGCACATAGAGTGAAATTACAAACTTTAATGCCTTACATAGGATCAGTTCATACTACCACACAGGCACAGACTATGGGTGAGGACAGAGTAGGAAAAGAAAGAGGAAAACAAAGCAAAATAAATAAACACTTTTCAGAAGGTTAAAGCTTAAATTTGAAGCTTGTACCTCAGAAGTTCTAGATGCTATGTCAATAATGAACATATGGGAATAATTAATATGGTTGGTGACACTATCATTAAACCTCCAGAAAGTAAATAGTGTTAACATTACTTTAAAAAGGTAAACAAATATTACAGACAGACATATTTGTTAGACTATTGTGCTTTTTTTTTTTTTTAAGATAGCCGGCCTGTTCAGTATCAAACCAACCTTGCAGCTTCTGATTTTCCTTCTCCATTCTGAGGAGCAGTATCTGTTGTAAAATAGCCTTTCGCCATAGCTCTCGAAGCTCCTGAGATGTCCTTTTCTTTTCCTCTGGCACAGGGCCAAAGGGTCCATCTTCACAAACTGGGTCTAAAGGAGATCGTGGGGGAAGCTCTCCCAGCTCTGAGTAATCTGCAGAAGCAAAAGGACATTCCAAAATGGTCATTTTTCAACAAAAAATTATATGCAAACATAGTGCCAAATCAGCAAATTCTACTCATTCAGACAAAAGAATAATATCACCAAATTTAAAGTTTGTTTTAATATACAATGGAATAAACTACGTTTGAGCCACAAACATGAAACAAATGATACATCAAATAGTAAGCAAAAGTTGCAGTAGCTGAGGAAATGTTTTAAAATACCTAGTTTTTAAGATGTAGTATTTTTATCTTCTTCTGAAGTTATTTAATAACTATATTATTGATAATAGCTAACATTCTTATAGTGCCAACTATGTACCAAACTGTTGTAAGGGCTTTCTGTATAATAATTAACTTGCCCCATGTCACACAGGTAGGAAGTAGTAGAGCCAGGATTGGAACCCAAACAGTCTGGCTTCCACATGCATTCTTACCCACTGTGATATATGGCTAGGTATTCTGAAAGAAGACTAAAACATATTTAATAGTCAGTAATAACAGTGACCATTAACAGATCCTCTACCATCCGTTGGGCATGTGCAAGGAGTTTTATACAAATAGACTCGTTTAATCCTCCCTGAAAAGGAAACTAAGGCTCAGAAAGGCCAAGTAAACTTCCCAAGATCATATAATGAATAAGTAGGTACACTGGAATTCCAACCTATGTCTGCTTCATTAAGAAGCCCATGTGCTTCCCACCAGATGCCACTACAATTCAAATGTTTCCTATGTCATCAATTTTTAAACTTCTGTTTATTAGTTTAAATCTCTTTACATTTCATGAGTCTGTACTTTTCTCAATTACAGAAACTATGTTGCCGGTGCACAGTGTTGTCGTAAGTCACAAATACCTTACAGACATGTGCAGAGAACATCCCCGCCCCCCACTATGGCTCTGGCTATGAAGAGCAGCAGTGGTTCCTGTACAACTGAACCTCAATTTCAAGGGACACAATGCATTTTTGGGAACTTCTGTTTAAACTGAACCCATGTAAATAAAATCATGGTCTTCACATATGCTGTGAAAAACCCTTCACAGGCAATTGGAGTCTCACAACCACCCATAATACAACACATAATCTCTTCCAGTTGATAGCTCCAACACAATTCCACATTATCACTAATTTCCAATACAGTCATCAGCACTGACTGCTCACCATCTCTATCTAAAAGTTAGATTTGTTTTCCTGCTATGATATCCACGAAATCAAACACAAGCTACAAAACATTTAATTTCTTAAAGTAACTTGTCCATCTTAACTCCTCTTAAAATTACTAGATAAAAAAAATATGATAAGCATTAAGTAGGAATGCTTTGTAATTTCTGTAAGCATTTAAATATAGAACTCTATAGATTCTTATTTCATTATGATCCTATTAAACAAATGAATAAATTAAAATTCTACTCTTTGGGGGTAAGAAATAAGTAGACAGTTTATGCACATTATAGGCGAATGCTTATGTGCAATATTCAAGAAAAAAGCAGAAATCAAAATTGTCTGTAGAGTATCACCTCAATTTCACAAATATTATGAAAGGCAGTATAGTTTAGTGATTAACAGGGAAGGTTCTGAAGCCTGATGACTGGGTTTTAATCAATACTCTACCATTTATTGATGTTGTGATCTTCAGCAACTTGCTTAGCCTCTCTATGCCTCAACTTCCCACTCTGTGAAGTGGGAAGAACAGTAACCTCCCTCATCGTTGTATGAAAAAGGCTAAGTTAATACACGGGACATAAACTACCTAGAACAGAGCCCAACACACAGTAAGAACAATAAATATTAGCTCTTCTTATTTGCTATCATATATTCATTAAGGGCACAGAAAAACTACTGGAAAGAAATCCATCAAAATTTTAGCCACTCAACTGTAAGCCCTAAGATGGCCAGAACCTTGCTGCCTTGCCAACAAGGGTTTGCTCACCACCAAGCATGGTTCCTAGTACCCAGCAGGGGCTTGATAAGCAATGGTTGAATAAAAGAAGAGGTAAATAGGTGCTGGGTTTGGGAATACTGTTATTCATTTATTTCCTTTATTTTCTAAATCTGTGGCAATATTTTTATAATTAAAGAAAAATAATGCAAATCTATTCTGATTAAAATTGAAGATGGAAAAATGTTCTCCTGTAAACACTTAGAAAACAAATCAACACCCCCCTCAAAAAACAACAAAACCTGTATACTTAGCATTAGTCATTACTGAAGATGATATAGTTTAAATTAATCCTTCTATTTAAGAGGAATTTTAGTCAGTATTCTTATATAATCTTATTCTGCAACTTGAAGCTTTCCATTTGAGTTCTTTCCTTTCTTTTCTTCTTTCTTCTTTCACCATGTTGGCTGTTGGAAGTCTGCTGGACACTGCAGTTATGATTGAAGTTTTACTTTATCTTATAGTGGAATTATTTATACTCCCACTAGTTTGCAAAAGATTCTCATTTCCAAAAAGTAATTCTTGGTCAATGTCCTGGCTGACATGGCAGGTGCTGGAGCAGTTATGAGAGTGGCATTATAACATGTTTCATGTGTATGAAAAGAGAATCCAGGGACCTCTACTGTACAGTCAATGGAGGGTAAGCCTGGCTGAGTGTTAGGCAGAGTTCGCCTGGAAATTCTTTCCCATTCTTTCACCCTAGTAAAACAAGGGCTCTCCTCACCTAGTCTCCTTCCTCTAATCTTATGCTTCCTGTTTAGCACAGCCTTTTTCCTCCTGAGTGTCTTAAATTCCTACATTACTTTCAAATTCTGAATTGAAATGAACAGAGCAGGTGTAAAGCAAGCCAGGACGATGGGACACTACTAGTAATTTAGGCTGCTTGGTCCCTGGATCCATTTACTCTCTGCCAATTTGGTTGCTAACAAGGACCATAGTCTATAGAAGCTTATGAAGCTCCAGCTTTTATTTTAGTATTCGTAGAAATTAGATCTGCAAAAAATACAAGCATTGTTGGGTAATGACAACTATGAGGGTTAAGACATAAATTGCCTCCCTAATATCCTCTACTTTTGCCTTCTTTTTCTCATTATCAATCATTAGCTACAGTTTGTTGAGTTTTTATCATGCAATGAGTCCTTGACACAAATAAGCTTGTCTGATTCTCACAACAACTTCATGAAATAGGTGATACTATCATCCCCATTTTACAGCCCAAATAACTAAGGTGCAGTGAAGTTTTGTAACTTGGCCAAGGTCACACAGCTAGAAAGAGTGAGAGCCATGATTTGAAGCAAGGTGTATTTACCTCCAAAGTAAAAAAATGCTTACCCTGTGCTTCTCTAACGTCTATGCACAGGCATCACACAGGGATCTTGCTAAATTGCAGAGTTTGATTCAGTAAATCTGAAGGGCGCCTGGGAGTCTGCATTTCTGTCCAGCTCTCAAATGATGCCACTACTGCTAGTGCTAGAAGCACACTTTGAACAGCAGGGCTCCACACTACATTTTTACTCTTTCTTCTCTCACACAATCCTGTGCACTTATCATCATGATGGCTCTTAATTTCCTTCATGGTTATCACTGAGAACACAGTTCAAGGGCTGCTGCTTTTAGCTGCCTGAATTTAGGCCTTCAGTATATGGCAAGAGCTTGTCCCAAACTTGGTCAGGGTACCAAGACCAAGTCCAGGACACAAAGAAGTACTAGTATTAATTTCACCTCTGAATGAACTAAATAAAAGTGGATTCATTGTAAAGGTCAGTATAAACCTAATGGTTTACAGCAGGGTTTCTCAACCTCAGCACTACTGACACCGTGGGCTGGATAATTCTCTGTGCATGGTAGAATGTTTAGCAGCATGACTGGGCACTACCCACTAGATGACAGTAGCATCTGCCCACCCCAGTGATGACAATAAAAATACCTCCAGACACTGCTAAGTGTCCCCTGGGGGGAAGAAAGGACGAAAATCACCCCCAGTGAGAATTCCTAACTCAGAGTAAAAAATGCATCACTTTCTCCTAAACCCTGGGAAGGGGTAAAATATTCCCTTCATCCAAATGTATTTTATGTGGTAACAATTACTGATCTTACAGTTTACAATTAACAACAAATCTTTTTGAAAATATTATCTTTTGTTCATATTAAGAGTAGCCCAGTTAAGGGAAATCATCAAGTCGAAGGTATACCTGTTCCCCAATGTTCATTGCAGCACTCTTTACAATAGCCAAGAGTTGGAACCAACCCAAATGTCCATCATCAGATGAGTGGATACGGAAAATGTGGTTTATCTACACAATGGAATACTACTCAGCTATAAAAATGAATGAAATACTGCCATTTGCAACAACATGGATGGACCTTGAGAGAATAATATTAAGTGAAACGAGTGAGGCAGAGAAAAAGAAATACCACATGTTCTCACTTATTGGTGGGAGCTAAAAATACACAAATAAATTCACTCACACACACACACACAACCACACACACAAAAAAAAAAATCGGGGGGGGAAGAAGATATAACAACTACAATTTCTTTGAAGGTGTTACAACAAGCAAACGGAAAGGACATTCTTGGGTGGGAGGGGGGAGAGGGAAGAGGGAGGGAGGTTTCGGTGATGGGTCATAATAATCAACCACATTGTATATTGACAAAAAAAAAGAAGAGTAGCCCAGTTACAAAGTAATTTGCTAACTTACAGAGGGGAATAGTTATAATATTTGTTTGCTGTAAATTTGGCCTGGGTAAATCAGTCCAAGTGGGCTGTTTTCTTACCAATGCAAAAAGATCAGGTTTAGGACAAAGCTCTGTAATCAGTCCCCTTTTGTGCATGTTTGGGGTACGGTTTTATGATATGTGGACTCATGCAGGGCCTTGAGTGTAGTGGCAAGGTGAGGAAAACAAAATTAAAATGAGCAATTGTCAGCTGAGAAACTTGTTCTAATAATAAATATGGGCATTATTTTAACGTGGATAATTCCTAAGCCAAACACACCCGTATTCACTGAGTCCCTTATATGTACCCAGCGATGGGATGTGCTAGGTGATCT